TCGAGGGCGACGTGGAGTTCAAGAGGAATTTTGCTGTGTTGGCGATTAGCACATTGGCTTCACCCATGGCGAATGGTTATGCCAATCAGCGTGTGTTCACCACTTCGAGGACGTGGATGGGATTAAGAATCTGAATTGGTGCAAATTCGTGATTGATTGTTTGTTGATAGGCATGAAACGTGGATTAAGGATAAAACAGCCATTTATTGGACCTATGTATTCTTACTGGTAAGGATTTCATAATCAGTTTCATAAGCAGTTAGACGTTTTCCATGTGGTAACAAAGCTAATATGTGTCTTGTTATTAGCTTCTTTATGTGGATAGGTTGGTTCATGGTGAGAGGGTTGTGCTAGGCCTTTCCAGCTTTACGTGGATGGTCAACGAGGTTGTTGAAGGCTAGGGAACTTGAGGAGTTCAGGAGCGGTGGATTTGGCCGTGGTGAGGTAGTTGGTCCATATATTATGGAGGTATGTATGTTCCCTATTTATCCTTTTGTAGGGTATGGGTGAGTATGTTGCTCATACTGTTTATGTTATGTTTGTAGGTGCCTAATGCAGTGGGGATGATCTTGCCAAGGTAGTTTCGTTTTGGACCGCTCCCATTATTGTGTCTCGTTATATTTTGTAGTTTAGTTTATAGTAATACATAGGTTTTCGCTGCTGTTTTTTTTAGCTGTAACAAGCACGTTGGTTTTTATTCTTTGCAATGTAGGTTTATGGTATGTGCATACATATATTTGTGTCTGCATTTTACTATATAGTATGTGCGTATACGAGCTATGTGCAGTAGCATATTGAATAGCATGTGCATTTAACATAAGATAGTGCATTTGCTAGATAATGGTTACTTTTATCGTATGTTGGCGTTTAAATGTGTTACTATATGTTTATTGCATAGTTTGTGCGTTTAAATGTTAGTGTCTGTGCGAGTTGCCTTTTACTATATTTTTATTGCATTCTTAGCAAGTGCATAGCATGTGCATTTTAATATTACCGTACCCGGCAGTCCAGATCAATTATGCTCTAGAATAATTCATAGCATATGCGTTTAGATGTAGCGTCTGTGCGCCTTGCATGTTAGTTAATTTTGTTGCATTTACTAGCAAGTGCATAGTCAATATTATGTTAGTGCATATTACTGGGTAGGTGCGTATCAGATCCAATGTTAGTGCTTTTGTTAGATAAATGGTTACTATATGTTATGTTGGGGCGTATCAGATATATGTTACTATATTTTTATTGCATCGTTTGTGCGTTTAAATGTTAATGTCTGTGCGAGTTTCTTTGCCTGTTAGTTAATTCGGTTTGCATTTATTTGCAAGTGCATTAGACAATCTTATGTTAGTGCATATTAATTGGCTACGTGCGTATCAGCTCCATTGCGTGTGCATTTGTTAGTTTGTGCGTTTAAATGTTAGTGTCTGGTGTGAGTTTCCTTGCCTGTTAGTTAATTTGGTTTGCATTTATTTGTGTTTGCATTTAGATGTAGCATCTGTGCGTCGTGCCTGTTAGTTAACTCGGTTTGCATTTTACTTGCAAATGCATAGACAATCTTATGTTAGTGCATATTAATGGGTACGTGCGTATCAGCTCCATTGCGTGTGCATTTGTTAGATAAATGGTCATTGGGTTTGCATTCACCAGATATATAATATGCACCAGATATATGTTAATATATTTTTATTCCATCGTTTGTGCGTTTAAATGTTAGTGTCTGTGCGAGTTGCCCTTGTACTATATTTTTATTGCATTCTTAGCAAGTGCATAGGCAATGTTATGTCATTGGGTTTGCATTCACCAGATATATAATATGCACCAGATATATGTTAATATATTTTTATTCCATCGTTTGTGCGTTTAAATTTTAGTGTCTGTGCGAGTTGCCCTTGTACTATATTTTTATTGCATTCTTAGCAAGTGCTTAGCAATGTTATGTTAGTGCATTTTTAAGATAGTTTTTGTTTTGCTGAATTCTTGCTTAACAAATTTGTAGACTGAGGCAGAGATATACGCTGAAAAGACGGACGCACTAGCTCTAGCTCTTGTGGACATGATGGAGTTCATGGATCAGCATATCGGTCTACCTCGGCCTCCTGAAGCTTTTGATAGGCTTGTATTGGGCGCTCGGAAATTTATGCAGGTGATTGACGGTGTGGACCCTCCTGCGCAGCAGGTACGGATGATGCGACGGCTGCTGGTGCACTCAGCGGCCGACGAGATTTGGGACAACCCGGCAAATTTAGATGCTGTTGACGCGGTTGTTACAGCTGCTCAGCAGGGGAAAGTTGGAGTTGAGGAACTGCCGCCCCCCCTCCGTGACACAGCAGATTCCTTCTTCTCCCCGTACTGCATGTGCGGGTTCTGACACCGCTCCGTGCGTGGAGACAGGTGGTGATGCTCCCTCGGAGGTTGTGCCTGGAGTTGGTACGCCCAAAGCCGTAAGTAAGGTAGTACGTCGGCGCAGAAAGGCTAGGCGTTTTTAGCCTGTTGTTTTAATTCAGTTATGGTTCTAGAATGTCCTTTTTTTGTGCTATTTTACCCGTAGGTATCTTGTTGCCCTTTTGAACTATACCGGGGTATGCACGGTGATGCATGTATGTTTAACTATGTTGGCAGGATGGATGTATTTTTGTGTTAATATTTCATGTGTGTTTATATTTTGTATGTTAATGATTGAGTATTTTAGTTTGTGACTGGTTTATTGTCGCCCATTGGCTGACGCGGACATTCCCTCGTTTAGTCTTGGGTTGACTCAGGATACGTCTCCGGTGGGATTTGGATTGTCTCAAGATTTGCCAACCCAATGTTGGGAGGTGGTGGATGCTATTGTCCGTGAATATGACGTACGTACGCCAAATGTCGTGCCTCGTGGTTGGTCATCCGCCCCATGTGGTTCAGTAAGTACAAACATCGATTTTATTCACACATCGAGTTTACATTGTGGGTATTGCATGGCGTGCGATATAACGTGATTGAGTAAGCGTTTGGGAGGGGGGTGCTGGCAGGTGCGTAATAACATTAGACTGGCTGCAATGCGTCACCCACATTGGGTATGTGCGTATTAGTTGCGGGGTTTTGCGGCACACATATGGAGTATGTGCGGCCCACTGATTTCATTGTGCGGTAGGGAACTGGTTGTTTTAATTTCTAAAGCCTGATTTTACTCTACGTATGTAGGTCCGTGATCACCAAGTATCAGCTATCCGTAAAAATTCACCACTTAGCTTGGGAGTACGTATTGCGGGGGGTCACAAAAGGCCCCGGCACGATGGTGTTCCTGGGGGGAGTGCAACGAAGGTGACTCCAGTGGAGGTACGTTTTCATTTTAATGGGATGCGTCACCCATATTGGGTATGTGCGCATTAGGCTTTAACGCCGGGGTGGTGCGATACACAAACGTGGTATGTGCGGCGCACAGATTGTCACTGGTGCGTTAGGGACTGGTTGTTTTAATTTCCATAGCCGTATTTTCCCCTATGTATGTAGGCCCGTGATCACCAAGTATCAGATGTCCGTAAGCCTTCATCACTCAGCCTGGGAGTACGTATTGGCGGGGGCAACAAAAGGACCTTGCGCGATGGTGTTCCTGGGGAGAGTGCAACTAAGGTGACTCCGATGGAGGTACGTTTTCATTTTGCTGCAGTTTGTGTAAATGTTGTCCGTTTATTTGTAGGAACTGGGTTTATATACCCTGAGGCTTACTTGTATTCTTTTGGTTTCATAGCAACGTATACCAGTACTGAACCCGCCTATGGTTGTATGTAACACACCGCGGTGTCTTGCGCCCGTGAAGCAGCCGCGACAAACAACTAGCAACGTACCGGCATTGAGAACGCTTGACTTGAATTCATACGATCACCGGACACGCGCACGTGCCGCGAACGCTCTAAGTGTCAACGCACCCGATCCGCAGGCAATCTATGATTGGGTTGCTAGATCTAGACTTAGCGACATGTATTACATCCCTTTTTGCAGCCTACTTTCGTTTCATCAATCCCCCCCTTTAGTGGGTTCTAACCGCCCGTCGCCTGTTCATTGACAGGGATGAGGAGCTGTTTCTATTTAGTGGCCGATCTGCACGGAGGGAAGAATTTCGTTCACTGCTTGAAGGTCAGGAAGTACTTGTGGGCATAATAAATGCCTGGGCATGTGTGTTGAATTTTAAGGAGATATTGAGGCCTCGTGGGTCACCCTCGAGGCTATTGGTGTCGCTTACGACTATGATGAGTTAACGGACTATTGTTTTTTAGTTCAGGTTTTGTTATGTCTTGGTTAGTGGTGTTGACTTAGGTTGTATTCGCATGAATCAGTTGAACACAGTTGTAAATGTTTCTGCACCACGTGGTCGGCGTCTGCAGTGGTTTACGGATTGCATGGTCGAGGAGTTGAACACGTCTCCGTTTAACTCCTGGGGCGACATTGATCTGGTTAGTGTTTATTTTTTGTCCTTGTTTTTAACCACATTCGGTTGTGATTAACTTTCTTGCATTGCAGTTCATATTTCCAATACTTCAAGCTGGTCACTACTACGTTATTGTAGTGGATTTTAGACGCATGCGTTTCGATGTGTTAGATAACTCTTCTGTTGGTGGCCTCTCACTAGACAAATATCTTGACATACCTGACCTGCTGATATGCTTGATTAACAATTTGGTTCTAATTGTACATTTAATATACACATGTCTAGTCAAAATCACCAGTGTGTAGACACATGTATTATTTATTAACACAATGTCATTTGTGTAGCATGAGTTTTTTACCGTTTTCCTGGAGGATGTGGAGGCCACAGATCAGTTTATGAAGGTCACTACGTTCATACCTCGTAGGGTTCGCCTATCATGTCGCGATGCGAAGAACAAAGTAGATTGCGGTGTGTTCGCGATGCGACACATGGAGTCTTATGCTGGACAGCCCTATGCGTCATGGGATTGTGGTCTTTGCGGGGGTGACGCACGTGCATTGCTTGCTTTACGCAAACGCTATATGTCCGAAATCCTTCTGTTTCAGAACAACACCCATCGTTGAACGAATTTCAACTCCGCCATGAGATCAATTGTTCCGTCTCGTTGAACACCTCTATTATATACATTGCGTTTATTATTACATCTCTAACTTTATGTATTGTTTTGGTATTTCTGTTAGGATTTGGAATAGACCAGATTTCTGTTTTGGTATTTCTGTTATGCGTATGTGCATACATATACATTGTGTCTGCATTTTACTATATAGTATGTGCGAATACGAGCTATGTGCAGTAGCATATTAAATAGCATGTGCATTTTCATATTACGATGCGTATATAGTAAAATGCATAATTTTATGTCAGTGCATATTAATGGATAAGTGCGTATCAGCTTCAATGTTAGTGCATTTGCTAGATAAAAGGTTATTTTAACTTATGTTAGTGCGTATCATATATATGTTACTATATTTTTATTGCGTCGTTTGTGCGTTTAAATGTTAGTGTCTGTGCGAGTTGCCTTGTATTATATTTTTATTGCATTCTTAGCAAGTGCATATCATGTGCATTTTCATATTACGGTACTCGGCAGTCCAGATCAATTGCATTAGGTTAGATAAGTTTATTGCATTTACTGGCAAGTGCATAGTCAATCTTATGTTACTAGCAACTTTATGTATTGTTTTGGTATTTCTGTTATGATTTGGAATAGACCAGATTTCCATTACAAATATTATACGTATTTCCATTACATTATTTTTGTGATTTGATCAGTGCATAGTAGACCAACGACATTTCATACATATAAACGCACTAACTACGTTAATGCACCAAAGAAAAGATTAATTTAACGGTGCATCGACTGCTTGAAACAAACGCACAATTTGTTTGTACTAAATCTGCCACCCAATCATATGACTAATATGCTGTCAACAATCATAACCGTATTACGCAGCCAATTTATACTTCCTTCGCACATGACATTTTCGTTACGCATATAAGCACGTACCTATCGACTACAACGCATTCCATACATGCAATCTATGCGTACTAACGCATATTTGGTAGCGGAGCAGTCCAGACATTTGTGTTATACATTTGTTTTACTACATCATAAAAAATCAGGCATTAAAAAAAGTCAGCACATCACAACTTCTAAGTCCTAATCAGGTAAATCCAGATGGGAAATACGGAACTGCCAACTATAAAATGGGAATGCTGGGAAAAAAGCTTAATGCCTACAGAGTTGGTCAAACAAGATATGCATATTATAAAAGCTTCCCTGGTAACATTTTCCTCAAAAAAATGGGAATGCTGGATAAAAACATACAAAAAGGTGCACGAGTTTCAGAATAAACGATCTCACAAAAAACTTCCAGAATTGCATGCTATAGCTAATAACACGTCTACTTCTGCGGGCAGCTTTTACTGTTATGCCATCTGCCATGCCACAAGTTTTGCACGTGCGCTTCTTCCTGTTTTGCTCCTTCATTGCCAGCTCTTTAGCAGACCTCATCCGTTTACCCGACCCTTTGTTGCTTGTCACCGGTGGTTGGTGCACAGTAATCGTCTCAGGTGCGGGTACGCCACAGTAAGACTCCATGATCGCTTGTTTCCCACTAGCTGCATCCACTTGGACTTCTTCGTGCCCGCACCAAGTTGTCTCCATATCCGATAGAACAGAACACATTTGTTGCAATTTTAAACTGTCCCCCTTGGCAATCCCCAAACACCTGTAGAACGTGTTTATTACATCTGATGCTTCATTACTCGTTGTGGCCCCTCCATATCCATAGTTCCTCAGTTAATCTTCATATTCTGTTATTGCGTTGCGTGTCCATCGCGGGGTGATCTGTTGCGGCGGTATGGTATCAACCCTCTCATATATTAGCACTGCAAAAGCGTGTCTACACAATAGACCAATCCTTGTATACATTCGGCAGGGGCAGTGCGTAATCATTGTCACATCCTCAACGGTCAAACCGTACTGTGTCCCGCGCTTATCATCCACCTCATAAGTCTTGATGCCGTCACCGATTGTCACTGCTCTTACCCGGCATTCAAAACAACCTGCAATAATTTCCTCCTGGACATCATAAAAAACTGTTAGTGTGTACAGTTTGGATGCATGTCGTTCAATTCCCAGTGGTGTTTTGAAAGGGGGAGTCTGTGCGTTGCTGGCACCACTAAGATGTGCGTGCGTGATCCGTTGCTTTCGCACTGTACTCTCAAATCGGATGAAGAATTCTGTAAGGCAAAGGTGCTTGTTAGTATTGCTTCTGAAAATTCTATTCTCAGCCTCGGACCGGGATGTAGTACGTAGTAATCTGCCCATAAAAACTCCTTCAAAACACGCAGGAACCCATGACGCACGCTCATCATACATATGTTTCAGCCACGAATTTTCAGTTATGGCATATTTTTCCATTACAGCTTTCCATGCATGCTCGAAATTTGCAGTAGTTGAGGCGTCGTTCCATACTACAGTATTTAGCTCCCGTCTAAACTCTTCGTTCCTCGCTAGGTCAGTGCCCACTTTATCACCCACCTTTGTCATTATATGCCACATGCAGTACCGATGACGCGTTTCAGGGAATTCTTGTGCAATTGCAACTTTCATCGCCGGATCTTGATCAATTACAGTGATTGCGGGGGGGCTGCCCATTGCGTTTTTGAAGTTCTTTAATACCCAAATGTACGAGTCCACGTCCTCCCGATCAATCAGGGCTGCTCCAAATGTCACGCATTTCTTATGGTTGTCGATCCCGGTAAATGGGACAAACACGAGGCCGTACATGGGACATCATGGTGTTAGTTTATTTCAATATAAAAGTTAGCGTGACTCGGTATCATGGTATTTGTAAAACATGTTAAGGAGAATGCACAAACTTGTACAACATTATGCACCCACCACTGCTGAACATTTAATTATACTATCGGACACTACACACATACACACATTTTTACAGTGGCGCACATGAAGAAAATATAGCTTTCTGAATTAATTTCTGATATCAACGGGTATCAACAAAAACGCACACACTCTGTGATTAGTACGCTATCATCAGTGCTATTAAATATCGAGGGTCAAATATATACACACACACACACAGTAACATTAATTCGCATATTTCTGGTGTCCGCATATAGAAAAAGTTATACAAGGTTCAGAATTTCTTACCGGTTAGTCTTGTACGTTGCATCGAAGGACACAACATCTCTAAACGCACTGTAATGTTTCCGCGCCACACCATCTGACCAAAAAATCCGTATCAATTGGTCGTTATGGTTTGCTTCGTACTCGAAGTACATGTCAGGGTAGTCAGCCTTGATATCCAGGTATTTGGATATTACCATTTGGCAGTCTCCTCCGTGCATGTATGCCAAGACTTCCCGTCGGTAATTTTTGAAATCTTGTTGTGTTGCTCCAACGTTTTCTGTTCCACCCACAACCTCTGCGTATATTTCAAAGCTTTTGCTCGAGCCCACATTCACCTTTGCGCAATTTGTTATGAACTGTTGGTGACCAACATCCAATTTCCTATTTACTTTCAAGAACGGTTTATAGCTATCATTGCACAAACAGTGTGCGTGCCCCTCTTCGAATGTCGTGACTAAATACCTCCCCGCACCGTCTATTTTGAACACAATCTTTGCCATGCACCGGACTCAGTTAGATGGCTTACGACGTTTGGTCTTTTTTCCAATTACCGTTTCTGGTGGATCCGATTTTTTCCCCGCTTTGTAACCTTCACGTGAACAAACCAGTTTCTTCCTTAAGATAATGTTGTACTTGTTCTTTTTGTCTGAACTGCGGCGCACATCAAAGCCTGCGACAGAGGCGTAATTGTTATAGAACTCAACACCTTCGTCTAATGTTGCAAACAATTGCCCAACAAATGGTTTTATGGATGTGTCGCAAGCCGTCAACCAAATCTTCGTTCCACTCGGGGATATATTCATATAACAATGTTCTTCGTCGACATCGCCCCCCGTAGTTGGCGCACCTGCCACTCAAAAGTAAGGTAATTAAAAAATCGACGCACTCAAATGCACTCCGGCGTTCCGGTAATAACCATTCGACAAAAGCAGGTATATGCACAGACATAACAGTGTTTACGCACGGACTGGTGGAAACCAAAAAAATAAAAAAAAAAAAACACCTCGGACACAGGCGATTTTGTCTATTAGGCAGTACGGCGCATGCACTGGCCAACGTATCTTTACGCTTAGGCCGTTGGATAGTCGGGTATCGAACAACCCACAACCCCAGCCTAACTTGCCTACTAGGTTCTAACGGCGTACGCACAAGCGGGTCGTCCTTAACGCTCACAAATATCGTCGGTCATCGACTACCCTTGTTCAGCCGTAAACCGTTTCGAGAAATCATGGAAATGCACAGACTTAGGCGTGTATATGCACTTACCTGTACTGCTACTGTCCATTTGCTGCAAGTCCGAAAGTGTTGTTCCTGCCTTCACACATCTACCATTGTTAACGTTATTTCATTCTTTTAATCCTTTTCAAGATACAATCATTTAATTTCCATCATCAAAAGCATCAAAAGATGATTCATATTCCTTTTAAATTAATTCATTAATTAAATCAGCTAACCAATTTACTAATCTAACCTTACCATAGATAATAACTGAAAATATATCTTTTAATCTCAACCATAGATGGGAATCTAATCAATGGGTATTATTAGGCCTCATGGGCTCATCTATTAGGGGGGGTGCACCAGATCCAAAGCCTATATATATATATATATATATATATATATATATATATATATATATATATATATATATATATATATATATATATATATATATATATATATACTATATCTACTATACTAATAAGAGCCCAGGAGAGTTAGGCCTATAAGGGGTAGAAAAATGGCGGTCAAATTTTTTAATCAAATGAATGGCTCAGATTGATCAGATTTTATTTTTTCCTTAAGATTTCCTAATTTATCAATATGATTATCCGTTAACTTTTTCGTTAAATATTATCTTTTCCGTTAATTTTTGTTAGTTCACCGTTAACTTACTCATTGATTTCAATAAGAAAGGTCTTAGGTTCGAACCCCTTCCCAATCAAAATTGGCATAACTAGTACTATTTTACTCTTATTAAATTAATAATAATTTAGTAGTTACAACAAAAAATAATACATATGCATTTCTTTAATTTAGAATTATGTGTCTACAATGTCTTTATTCAAAAAAAATTTATTCATTATCAATAAATTAAATAAGATAAATAATTTCATTTGTTATATTATATTTATTTTTCTCCAATATAAAAATTATTTACATTCAAATTCATCAATTGATTATATTCGCTACATTGTCTCTACAATGTCTTTATTAAAAAAATTTATTCATTATCAATAAATTAATTAAGAGAAATAATTTTATTAATTATATTGTCTTTATATTTCTTCAATGTAAAAATTCTTTACATTCAAATTCATCAATTGATTATATTTACTACATTGTCTATTATCTTTTTTGTGCACTATTTTTTAATTAAATATCAAAATGATAATACAAAATAATGCTATATATTTATTTACCAAGTATTTTATTAATACCATGAAATTTTTTTAAAAATATAATTAATAAAGGCAATCATATTAACTACTTGAGAGATTTGTTGACAAAGAGAGTATTCAAATCACACAACAAATTGACGTGAGAACTACCTCGCAATGTCCTTATTTGACAATCAGCAGTTAGTGGTTTGTGTTAGCGGATTATATTAGCGAATTTGACCAGGGAATTATATCAATAGTTAGTAAAAAGATATTTAAAAGAAATTAGTCATTTAGATTAACATGTAAAATGACCTAAGGGTATAAATATATTTAATAATAATAATAATAATAATAATAATAATAATAATAATAATAATAATAATAATAATAATAATAATAATTGTTTTAAAAAAATAAAAAAAATAAAAAAATATAATTAAGCAAATCATATTAACTACTTGGGGATTTATTGAAAAAAAAAGAAGAGTATTTGAAGTGAGAAACTATCTCGCAATGTCCTTTTTTTTACAATCAGCAGTTAGCTCTTCAATATTAGTATATATTTAATATTTTATGTCCTAATTTTTATTTTTTCTCCCTTATGTCCCGGATTTGATTTCAACCATACCTATACAATTATTTTATTGACAATTAATCAATCTTGACTATATTATCTTGCATTTGTAAATTTAGAATTGCCTATTTAAATACGGAAATATAACATTCAATTATCTATACATGAACAATTCCAATATAATCTTGCCTTGATATACTTTAAAGTACTTATTAAAAAAAAACATTGGGCATTATCCCAATCGCGCAATGCGCGTAAAAAACTAGTATGTATATATATATATATATATATATATATATATATATATATATATATATATATATATATAGAGTAAATACCCAAAATGGTCCCTCAACTATAGCTAAATTCATAAATTGGTCCTCGACTTTCAATTTTAACTAATTAAGTCCTTATCTTTGCAATTTTGACACGATTTGGTCCTCCATCTATTTGACCGTTTGTTGACCGCGATCTTTGAGGATATATATGTAGTTTCACGTGCAAAGCTCAAGAGAACGCTCTTGGAGGTGACATCGTTGTTTCGGAGGGGGAAGTGCTTCTCCGCTTGCTGCTTGGGGATCACGAGCCAGTTCAGCTTAGAGAACGCTCTTGGAGGTAAAAGCGCCGTTTCGGAGGGGGGAAGTGCTTCTCCGCTTGTTGCTTGGGGATCCCGAACCGATTCAGCTTGCCTACATCGCTTGCAGTCACGGCTTTCTCGAAGAGCCACTCCAGGGACTTCGGCGATCTATCTATCAAAAGCTATAATCTCTCCGACATGGGGTGCAGCGCCGGCAGTGGATTCAAATGTAACAGTGCGGTCTAGAAATGCAACCGGAACCTTAAAAAACCGACGATGGACCATGAAGTTACATATATATCCTAAAAAAGTGCAGTCAACACACGGTCAAATAGACAAAGGACCAAATTGTGTTAAAATTGCAAAGTTAAGGACATAATTAGTTGAAATTAAAAGTCGAGGACCAATTTGTGAATTTAGCTATAGTCGAGGGACCATTTTGGGTATTTAGTCATATATATATATATGTATGGAGCTAGAAATTATGTTGAGGGGGGCAAAGAAGTTGGATGGATTCATGAATTTTTTTCAGTGGGGAAAAAAAATTAAAATAAAAAAGAAAGTTTGAAAAAAAAAAAAATGAAACACTTAAGAAGTATAACAAAAAATATTGTTGGATATAGCAAAAAATAAAACATATTAAAACTTTATAAAAATATTTATAACAAAATATGAAACATAATTAATTTGATAAAATAATTCGAATATAAAGCACATTATAAATTGCACATTCCATTATTAATATAAAGAAAGTTATATATACATCTCATTATTAATATAAAGAAAGTTATATATACATCTCATTATTATTAATATAAAAAAGAAAGACATCCCATTATTAATATAAAAGAAAGTTATATATATCATGCTAAAATTTAATTGTGTTGAAAATTGTGACTATGCCAATCCAAGGACTAGAACCCAAACCATTTTGAAACTAATACACGTTTCCTACCACCATGTCTACCATAGCATTTGTTTGAATAATCTGTTTTATAATACTTATACTAATAATGTACTATATATACATATTATATACAAAGGCTATATATAGGGTATGGTGAGGGGGGTGAGGGGGGGGGGGTAGCTGCCCCCTTGCCCC